CAGAAATCGACAAAAAATAATTTTAGATAGATACAAATTGACAAGATTATTTCTAAATTAATGCTAATTAGTTGAAATTTCATGCTAAAACATGTAAATAGTAATACTAAATATTTTTCTCAAACAAAGATGACTAATTTGCTTTGTTTATATTATGAAATAAATACTAGTATATACCATTGCTTTATTGAAAAGGCATTGATCGTGATTTTATCAGAAACAAATAAATAAAACAAGCAAATGTTACACTACTTATCAATCATCAAGCGAGCTGTTAGAAATCGATTTTAATATTAAAAATTTCAAATTTGTCGCCAGAGCAAATAAATAAAACAACCAAATTTGATTCACGCTTCTTGCATTGTAAAAGGTTTCATACAGCTTTTGTCATCAAACATTATAACAACAATCCATTAATTAATTTGGATTGGTAGGATGATCGTGCAGTATCATTTGCTCCAAATATTAGGTGAAAAGAGACGACAGTTAGCTTTGTTGCATATATAATTAAGATTAAAATGAAAAAAAATGGAGACTTACCTTAACTTTGATTAATTATTTCGTTAGTTTTGAATCGTACGTAGGTAAGTTATGGGCACTGTAATTTAAAGACTTATTTATGGCATTTGAACATGCATGTTCAGAAAAAATAAAATAAAATTTATCGCATGATATTCAATTGTAAATATAATTATAGAAACATTATAATATTGCAATTAGCTAGAAATGTTATGAATAGCTTCTTAATTCCTAGCACACTTCCTTTTACACAAACTGGTGCCACAGGATACTGCGGCTTTATTCATAAGGTAATATAAGAGAAAAGCAAATTACAACTGAAGGGTTCCTATTGATTTCTAGAGGTGTATCAACCTCATTACCATTGGGTGACTGACTTTGAGTAAGTGAATATTCATATATAAGGTAATAAAAGAGAAAAGCAAACCACGTTTGAAGGGTTTCTCGATTTCTAGAGGTGCATCAACCTCATTACCTCACTCTAATTCTGTAGAAGCCCTCATTCGCCTCTTTGGAAAGGGTGACAATAGAACCACTTCTGTTTTGGGCAAAGTCCCTCCACCCAGGACCGCTGATGGAGAATCTGTTGCCTCCTTCACTCTTGCATTCAAATGTCCACTGTCCTCCTGATCCATCTTTAACATCCAAATAGCTTCTACTGGCACTGAGTGCGCCGCCACCATGATCAAACCTCAAATTTGCTACATCGGAACGTTGAAGATATTTTTCGAAGATCCTCACCATCTCGATCGCTTCACAAAAGACGTAGCACTTAAACGATTGTATTTTGATATCAAGCTCTCTGTGTTTGAGGTTTGTTCTACCACGGGGGTGTTTATATAGAGTGAAGGCAGCAGCTTTCTTACTTGAGCAAACAGAGAAAAAAATATACATTTAAAATATGATATTATCGCGAGCAAAGGCTTAAATCTTCCGACATTCTTCCAAGTCCAATGTTTTCCAAAATGTTTCGTGCATTTACATTAGTTTGTCTTTGTTATTTATTGCAAGAAAACTTGATGCACCAGCAAAACCTTAAAATTAAGTTTTCGTGCAAATCTGGTACGCATTGCATGATAAACTATGTCAAACAACAAAGCCGTCATCAAATCGCGCAACTCTTCTTTTTGCAATCCAAAAAAGAAAAGTTTTGAACTAGACAAATATCTGACAAAGAAAATCCTAGACATAAGTTCAATTTTCTTCACTAAAAGATGGGGTTCCATAACTTGTTCTAGAAGACAATAATATATGCGTGAGCTTGCTGTACTAGTGTGTACTATAATAATATAATAATAATGGCATAACATTTTCTCCCCAAAAAAGACTGTGATCTGTCTAAACAGTTAGCTGATTCTACTAAACTGATTAGTATCATTATCTTCATTCTGGACGCGAGATGCCATGACATTTTTCTTTCTAAACGTGATCACTCGCTACGTTGCTTGGGGGATCATGGGATTGAATGAAGCGACTATTTTTTTTCGTTCGATTGTCGCAGCTGGGGTTTTTAATTGTTATCTGCAACATGCTGAAAAGTCAACAAGGTCATGCACCTACTCTCTTAGTATTATTTTATTTTCTTGATTGCCGTTTGTGTTGTATACTTTTCCGTGATTTCTTCTTTCTTCGTCTATTTTAACCGAACATTCTAATAGAAACAATTGAATTATCATAATTTAAAGGTCTTGAGACAAAAATGAAATAAATTAAAAAATTAAGAGATCAAAATGAATTTAAGGATCATTATTACATATATAGTGAATATTATTTTTATTACGTGCATATTAAAATATATATGTTCTTTTCTTAAAAAATCATATGTTAAATAATATTACACATTAATTAACATTAATTTATAAAAATTATTATGCCTAATCTAATATAATGATATGCACTACATGTGAATAGAAGATATCACTCATTGCAATTGTCTTATTTTTTGAGTTGAGACTCTCTTCATTCAATTCAATCCCAAATTTTAATTTAAAACTACTGCTAGTTAGTTGAAATTTCATGCCAACATGTATAAATTGTATTAAATATTTTCTCATCTTAAGATGACTAATTTGCTTTGTTTATATTATGAAATAAATAATATATATCTTTGCTTTATTTAAAAGGCATTGATCACAACAAATAAATATAAGCCAAGCAAATGTAACACTACTTATCCTAGTGATAAATCTTAATATCACCCAAAATTTTAATTTTCTAAACATACGACTTTAAAATCTTTTTAAAAAAAATAAAAAATAATATTGATTTTATTATAACAAAGTTTCATGCATGTATTTATTGTCAAACAATATATCCAGCCAATAATCCAATAATTAATATCATCGAATGATTCATATTAATTAGATCTCATAAAATATTATAATTTAAAAAATCTCAATCTAATTGCACCCCTTTATAGTATCAGGGATTGTTGTCTTCCCACAACCAAACATGAAGTGCGTCACTATTGAATTGTTTATTTTCCAACGAGCAAAACTAATTAATTACGTGAAGGATTTTACAACAAGCCGACAATGACAGTTATGAGAAACGAATGTGAACCATGGCGCTCTGACCATTACCAGTTTTTATATTGCAGCTGCCATTGCCAACAAAGCACTTGGGATCTGCTCGCTCTTTCAGTCAATGACAGTGCCATTGGGTGAGTGACAGAGTTTGACCGTAGCCACAATATATATTTTTATTTCTTTATTTCTTTTCTGTTTTTATTAAAAACAAGACTAACAAACAACTAAATCAGCCGCTTACTCATATATGTAGAAAAAGAAATTCAGGTGGGTAGTGTGGTCCCTGATCATGAATAAAATGCGCATATCATAAGAGGATGAAAGCAAAAAGTTTCTCCAATCATAGGATTACCAGTGTTTAGTTGCATTAATTAAGTTCCAAAAATTCGGTCGCTTTTCACGATGATGCGTGCATGGAATGTCTACACGAAGGTATGACTAACTAGTTAGAAATGCCACATATTTAAGGTCCATTTGTTTCGCAGAAAATGATTTTTAAAAAATAATTTTTGTATTTTCTAAGTATTTATTTAACAAAAAATTAGTTAGTTAATGGAAAATAATTTCTTAATCATAGAAAATAAGGTTATTTTTTAAAAAATTATCTTATAAATTTGAAAAAAAGAAGACATTTTTCGAAAAAAATTATTTATAAGTAGATTATTTATTAATATTTTTGAGCATAATTTTACTTATAAATAATATTATATTAATAAATAATATTATATTAATAAATAATATACTATTAATGTAATATATTAATAAATAATATTATTATACTAATAAATAATGTAATAATAAATATTATTAATTTAATTAATAAATATTATAATAGTATATTAGTAAATAATATACTATTAATATAATATATTATTAAATATAATTAATAAATAATATTATAATATATTAATAAATAATATAAAGAATAATAAGTAGTTTTATTTTAAGTATGTTTTATATTAATATAATATTTTAATATTAATAATTTAATAATAAATAATTTCAATATATTTTAATAATAAATAATTTTTAATATTTTAATAATTATATTAATATTATTTGAAAAAAAAACACAAATTTTTCAAAAAACAACCAAACAATGAAAAATATTTTTTATTAACTCATCCAAATAATAAAAAATATCTTTCAATTCAAAAAATGAAAACATTGTTTAGAAATTATTTTTCGAAAATCATTTTTTGTGAAACAAATAAAGCCTTAATTTACAACTAAATTACTCATTTTTCAAATATGTTCTCATAGAAAAACTAGGCTTGCCAAACTACTAGTTTAATTTGAATTTGTAATTAAAAATTAATACGACACAATGAAACACTTGTATTCTTTTGACATTCGATAAAGCTTGACAATGCATGATATATAGTTGGGCAATCTCAAGTAAGATTTTTGACATTGTTGCGAGCATGGGCTGCCTCAAATTTAAATTAAAAATGTGCAATTTAGAAAGTACTAAGAAATAGAGTTGAAAATGGCCGAAGCACCGAAACATGGCGGCAAAATTGAAAATTCTTGTCTTTGGTTCGTTCACAGTGCCGACTGACCAAGTGACAAGAGTATGTCACATTTCAGTTTCTGCAGCATCTATAACCAGAGCTAGTTAGGTCCCGACATGATGCCCATAGAAGCCAACTTCTGGATACATATTATTCATTCATTTCCTTCTAGAATTGAGATGTACCAATTCTTTTTTTACAATGCTCGGTTAATTGAAGACTACGTACTGCGCTATTGATCAATGATCATGTCAAGCGCCCAAATATCATGTGTTCGATGAAGTTCAAAGGCCGGTCGGTCACCGTCATGTTCGTTTAGGGACAAATGGGTGGTTTTAGAGGTTGGGATCTTCCGTAGGCCCATAGACTAGTCTTTTAGGAAACAGTTAAGTCCAATTGCTTCATACTGGTTGGGCCTATACTGACCCATAGTTTTGGATGCTCACTTATATACCAAAAGACACTGAACAAAATAAAACCCAAAACTTAGACCGAAGAATCACGTGCATCCCTTTACCAGTTCCTGTCTTCTCTGACATTGCAATAATGATATGTTTTAATTCAACTGCAAGTCCTCCAGTAAGACTGCAGTCTTCCTTGGACCAGAAATCTCCTGGCATCATCTCTTCCTGTGGAGAAATAATGTCCAATTTTCAAGCTAAGAACTTCTTCAAGGTTTACCTCTTGGAACACAGCTTCCAAAGAATGGTAACTCCGTCAAAGTTTTACTTTTTGCCCACTGTAAAGTATTTACTTTAAAATATTGTCGTCTGTTTTTTTTTTTTTTTTTCCAGCTTTACCTTGTTTAGTTTCTTGCTTTCTTTGAATATTTTCTGGGTTTTGGTTGTTGCATTATGCATTTGACAAATATATACGTATTATCAATTTGTTGTATTTAAGCTTTTGCTAAAACTGACTGCAATTTTAGCTGGTAGGATTGTGGTCAAGGGCTTTTTTTTTTTCAGTCCTTTTCGTTTATAGGTATTTGCTTTGATGGGTTTGGAATTGCTATGATATGTTACTCCTATGTTACATAGTAGTAGTGGTGACTAACTGATAATGTACAGGTAATGTTGAATGTGTAATAAACGTAGAGGCTTAGCAATGTGATGAAATATAGTGGATATGTGTTACAATTGTCTATTGGATTCTATTTTGTAAGCCATGTCAGAAGGTGATAGTCGTTGCTTTTCCCGAACTTAATTTTTGTGGGTATGTCTTATGGCACATAGTGGTGATAAGTGAAAAAGAAGAGCAGGAAATGTTATGCAGCTTTTAGTTTAATTGATTATGCCTGATATCTAGCTTCATTTTGTAACTGTAGCTCATTCCATCTTCTGCTGTTGTGTGTTCATACGAACTGATGCCTGTGACAGTCACCTTTAGAAATTGTAAAGGGCAATGCTGGCATGTGGAGGTGGAGGTGGATGAATGCGATGGCAAGATGTTTTTTAAGAAGGGTTGGAGAAAATTCATTGATGAAAACTCCATAAAGGATAAAGATATTTTGGTTTTCAATTATTTTGGATGTTTTGTGTTTGATGTGAAAGTATTCGGATTAGATCGATGTGAGAAGAGTGTTTCACATCTAGTGTTGGATGAGCAGGAAATGGGAATTGTTCTAGCTGATGATGATCATGATGATGATGACGACGATGAAGAATTTCAGGAAGAAGGAGAAGATAGTGAGATGGAGTTGGAGGAAGAAGCAGAAGAAGAAAATGATTATGATGACTTTCAGCAAGAAGGGAAAGATGGTAGGCTGGAGTTGGAAGAAGAAGATAATGATGATGAGGACTATCAGGAAGGAGAAGATAGTGAGCTGGAGTTGGTGGAAGAGGAGGAAAATGAAGAAGTATTGGATAGTTTAAACAAAAGAAGAGGCCAGAAAATGAACAATAAAAGAAACGAAGGTGACTTATTTTTTGTATGCGAGTGCATCTGTGCATGTATGTGAAATTGTGCAAACCATTCATTCACTCATGTAATGATGCATGTTTGTTATGTGCTAAAACATTACCCTTTTGTTTACTAGGGTCGCATGAGGAATTTGCTGCTATGAAAGACGAAGGAACTACCTCTATGGAGCTTTATCCAGAAAAATATGTCCAACATCTGAATCCTTATTTTGTGGCGAGGATAAGGCTAAGGAGGAAGAACGAATTGGTATGTTCTTTTATTCTTGTTCTTCTTATCATATAACAAAAAGCTGAATTTGCGCCTACTCTCTCAGCTGCTCAAGGAATTTGTGCTCTGATTTTGTAGCTAGTTACTTGATTATAGCCTTTTTTTTTCCATTAGACTACAGTGGTTGTTTTGGTTCTTTTGTTTTTATTATGGGTTGGTGTTTATTCTCAAATTGAACTTCGGTTTGTCCACCATGTTAGACATAACCACTTCCATCAATGACAAGGTGAGAACAACCTTTTTTTTGGGTTACTAAACAGAGAATAAAAAATTGGTTGGAGGATTTCTTATGAATATGATAGTACACAGCTTAGCTGACCCCAGAGTTATGATATATAAGCTTGTTGCTGTCGTATGATAGTACACGGCTTGAAGCATCAATAAAACCAGAAGTGCCGAAAAGTAATTGTAGCTGTTCTGAATATATGTAAAGCTTCCGGCTGATAAGTGGTGGATTTTTTACTGTTGTTATAGATAGATAAACAATGTTTACTGTTTTATCTTCTTTTTAATCGTTTATTCTCATACGAAAGTCAGAAAGAAAATTTCCTTGAGACTCATTTAAATGACTATATGTCTGTTACATTCTTTTTCATGTTTTCGATTCCAAATAGAGGAACTGCTTGAAATTAACTTGACCTCAAAAGGCTTTGACCGCATTTTAAGTTGAACAAGTCCTTGTAGAATGTACAGTTATGGACCTTCCACTCTCCCCTGGCTACATTTTCCTTGCATTTTTTGTACATTTACTTAAAGTTATTTGCATTTGGATTGATTAATACTAGGTTCTTAGATTCTTCTCCATTATTTCAAATTTTATTTTTCTGATATCATGTGTCCAATGCCAAGAATGCTACTAACTTCTGGCTATATTCTTTGTGTGTGTCTCAGTATGTTCCATTTGATGTAATGAGAGATTATGATCTGACTCTAGAGGACAAGGAGGAAATTACATTTGTTGACCCATACAAGCGGGAAAGTATTGGGAAGGTTGTTAAATGGAAGGATGGTCGAACATGCATAACGGGATGGAGAAGTCTCTGCAATCGAAACAAAGTGGATCTTCAGCGTGACGCTTGTATATGTGAATTTCTGCTTGAAAAGGGACAAGAAAAGAAGTTCATACAAGTTCACATTGTCAATCGCAGGAAACATGCTAAGTCCCAGAAGCCTAGAATGCAGAAACAAAACCAAAAGTAGACATAATCTGACATGAAGATGCTTTTAGTTTAACTGTTTAATTATCACGGCTATGGATCCAGCAGGCCCGCACTTCAGAGTTTGGTCTATAAGCTGAAGGCTTACTTGCCAGAAGACTGATATATAGAGCTTCGTAACTTTTTACTTGCAGGCTATTGTAGTTCACTTTGAACTTTTGACTTGCAGGCTTTTGTAGTTTATTTTGAAAACCTTTGGCTTGGGTTGAGATACCATCACTCATCAAACCCATAGTTTATGTACCTACCCAAGTAAACGTACTCAAATTGGATTGGAAATGGGTAAGTTAAAAAATTACACTATCCCAAGTATTATGCGTTGAACTAACTCTGATTTGGATAAATTCTGAATTATGGAATAAAATTGATGTAGTAGATATAGGTGCTAAAATGAAGAAACTTACAAGAGCAATTGTTTTGAGGATTGTGGTTGGGCAAAAGTTTAGCGACTTTTTTTTAGTGTTTTAGCCTTTAAATTAGTGGCCAGTCTTCTTTGGCATCCCCTGCATCTCAAACTTTTCCTGGCCTGCATTTAAAGCTGTGCAATCTTTTCTCCCTAGATCATAAGCTCATCTAGTCAGCTTGCCAACCATCCATACCTACTGCACCTTGTCCGTCATCTGTCTCTTATACAAATTAAGCCCATTTTTATTCTCTTCAAGTTTCGGTTCATAATTTCTAAACCTTCCATTTCTTATACCAATGGCAACAGCCTCAGCTACACTCTCTCTACCCACATTGGCTGCTGCCCCTGTTGGCAATCCCAGGAGGAGAACCAGCGTTAATGTAAATTATACTACAGGATTGAATTCTTTTAGTGGGCTAAAAGCTCATAACAATGTGGTCTCACTAGGGCAACCGGTATGCACCGAGCAATCTTTTTCAAAGGTTGTGAGCTCACTGAAAGCTCCATCAAAGGGGAAAGGTAAGGGAGGTGGTGCCCTCTCTTCAACCTGCAATGCAGTTGGTGAGATATTTAGGATTGCAGCAATCATGAATGGCCCTGTTCTCATTAGAGTTGCTGTGGGATTTGTTCGTCTTCGAATTGAAGCATCTTTGGAAGAGGCCGAGTGAGGATATTAGAAACTTTCAAACTGCCTGCACTACTCTCCCCCTTCCCCTTCCCCTGCCTTGTTTACTTGTCTGCTGCCTGGTGTGGTATTATTATGTTAAAAGAATCTGTCCCCTGCCTTCTTACCAGATGGAAATGTAAAAGAATCTGCCAAATGTTTATAACATCTTTCTTTGAATATTTGTCTTTATTGTTACAACACGAAATTTTCAAAGTTGGCAGGACCGGTAGATCTAACTTAAGGGAACTTCTCCCTTCTATAAATAGGATTATCATATAAACCTACATCAGGTTCTCTCATATGCTCGCTTCTTCCTCCTTAAGCGTCGAAGTGTTCATGTCAAGCAATATCCCGACCAACGTCCACTCAGTGGTTTCATCTCGCAGGAAAAGCAATAATGTTCTTGCTTCTTCTCCCTCATGCTCCTCCCACAGTTTGGTACGACAACATAAGACTAATGTGGCAGCCAATCCAATGGTTCTTGCACAGTGTTTTCTTCAGGACTTGGTCTCGTTATATCCTCGATAGTTTATTTTATCTAACCAAAGCCAATTCAAAATCAAGCTCTATCAGGCCGACAACTTAGGCTTGCACTACAAAATTGTTCATGACTTACTATACTAAGATCTTCCTTGACAACAATGTCAATTCGGGGCACTAAAAATTAAATTGACAATTTTATGACAAGAAAATGATATGAAAAAATATATTTGAAAATGATATAATTTAAATTTGATAAAAAAAAATTGTATATATTTGACATATTGATATGAATTATGATATAATAATTTTTGTATTTTATATTTTTTGATATAATTAAATAAAACATGGATACACGAATTGATATATATAATATTGCAGGAGACGTAATTTGAGTTTAGAATCACAGAAAGACATGAATAATTTTGTCATGGAAGGAAACCGTCATGTCTGAAACATCTATTTGATCATCAGTCACAATTTAGGAGCAAAGAAACAGGACATGGATTTATGCCTCGGAGACGAAGAAAAGGCAAACCTCGAATGAAGTTATAATGGGACCATATTAAGCTGTAAAAAGGAGGTATATGTATTGCGCCCTAAAGCCTCTCAACGTTGAAAGTTAATGGGTGATGACAGTTGGTTTGAACCTTTATCCTCCATATTATCTCCACCTTAGTTCGTTTTCACAGGAAAAATTTTACTAAAGAGAAGGATGTTGTTGAGGTAGCCGAATAACCTCATCTCAAATTCAATTCAAAGAACAAGCAGATCAGCATATTTATTATTAGCCCATTCGTTCTTTGATGGAGAATAGACTACCTCGTAAAGCAAGGGGCCGAAGGGCTTTTGGGTTGGTATGTGAGCCTAAGTGAAATGGCAATGGCCCTGCAAAAGATTACCAAACTCACTCCATAATCTAAATTGCAATTGCCAATACTTTTATAAGCTTGGTTTTTCCACTAAAAATTTGGTACACTTTCCCCTGTGTTTTTGCGTGGAAAATTGGCCAATGGTTTGAAAGTGCTCCACCCCCCTCCCCCGGCCCCTTCGCTTCCACCTTTTCTCTTTGAACTCAAAGCCAAAAAGCATAATAAATGTATTTGGAGAAGAGATAAGCCACAATGAGACAATTAGCAAGCATAGGTCTCGACTATAGGGACGTTGCCAATTTATGTTTTATTTTCCTATATCCAATTTGGATTGTGCATCTTAATTCTGTCTATACTGTAGGCATCCATTTTGGTCCGGACTAGATTGGGTCCATTCTAGTCCGAATCTCGTTGGATCCATTCTAGCCCGTGCTTAACTGGGTCCATCTTGGTTTGGGTTCGGCTAAATCTATTTTCAGAGTTGGGCGCAACCAGGCCCATTTCTGGTAAGCCCGTGTGGGTTAGGCCCATCAAGGCCCATGTTGGTCCAAAAAGATGTGTTTTATTATTATTATTATTATTATTATTATTATTATTATTATTATTATTATTCTTTTTTTTCTTTGTTTCATTCATCAATTTCCATTTGCGATCGATCCAAATGTGAATCAAAATCACAAAATTCTCAAAGGTCAACACAAAATCAAATTAGATTGCTAAAATCTTGGAATTAAATCTCGGATAGAATGCAATCTTAGGAATCAAGCTTAGGATTGATTCTGCCAGTTTCTTGAATTTGACCCCGAGAACACCTATAAATTGGACTAATTTTTGACACAAAAGACACACGAAAGGGGGGGAAAAAGAGAAAGGAAAAAAAAACTTCAGGAGAATTTTGGGGAGTTCTGGTAAAAAGAGGGTCTTGGGATTTGAGAATTGGGATAGGGGTTGATTTGGAGTTCTGGAGTGATTCTGGGATTCTGGAAATAATTTCAAGGTAGTAGAGGGTTCTGGGAAGGTTTAGGAAGATCTAAGAATTTTTTTAGAATTTTTTAGATTTTTTTTTTCGAAATTTTTTTGGGATTTTTAGGTTTCTGAAGAACATTTTAATTTTTTGGTGAAAGTTGAAGTTTTCGACCAGATTGTGGCGAAATTTCCAGGATCCAACGGGTTTTTCAAAAATTGATGGGTTTTTCAATTCTTGATTGAATTTTTTGGCAATTTTTTCAGAAACCGATGAGTTTTTCGGCTCCGTTTAAAGTTTTCGGTAGGAGATCATAGAGAGAAGGCAGAGCTTCTCGAACTAGAGAGAGAAAAAGTATATGGGCTTTTGAGAAAAATGCTAAAAAAAAGCCTTTTATACAACTCCAAAATGATGCCATTTTGCTAAGCTATGATCTGTGCGTTGACCCGAGGATCGGTGCATAGACCCGTGTTTCGATCCGATCCGATTGCAGAAAAAAATAGATATGAATGAGAAAAAGGCATAAAATATAAACTATAAAAAAAAGGAAACAAAAAAGAAAAAAAAAGTATAAAATTTTGGTAAACAATAATAATTTAGGCTTGGATAATTCGAAATCAAAACTAGTACCATCCTTGGATAAGCGCTATAGGAGTGCTACAACCTTCCTCAAGCGTAATCGACTCGCAAATCTAACCTCTGTTTTGCAGGCTAGTTTTAATCAGTGGCCAATCACACCTAACAAAAAAATTGGTGGTGACTCCCTTTCATTCCAAGTCTAGTGGTGAGTCTACGGATCTACTAGTTATAATAGCTTGACGACTCTACTGAGGACTATTAAGAGTCAAGCCAGTAAAAGATTTCTTATTGTCCAAGCTTTGTCTAATAATTCAAAATTACTTTTTGTCATTGCTTATATTTGTCTACCCTATTCTTCAATACCTATATTTTACCTAAATATATGTTCTTATATCTGTCATTCACTTACATGTGCACAACATAAGCCCTCTACCCAAGCTTAACCTTTAGGACGGAGTGAAGTACCTATGCCCTCGTGAGATTTCATGTCTCTGCATGGGCTTGCGAAACTCTCCCATTCAGATTGAACCCTTTTTGCTTGAAACCTGCGATGGGTGAGGATTGGGATGCCTTACTAGTTTATAATGGACCATGATGTAGAGAACAATTTGGGGACTTTTTTAGAAATGGCCTAAAGCACATGTAGTCGACTTTAGAAGCCTAACCATAAATAAAGCCTTGTTTTCCCCTCCTTCTATAGATGATCCAAATTTTAGGTCATGTTGTCTTTTTAACTACTATGTTTTCCTTGTGTTTCTTTATGACTAACCTCTTTTGTCTGCTTTTGCTTCTTTTTGCATCAATTCATAAACAAGTTCACAAATTGCATAGTATTCTTACCCTAAAACTATTCCAACAAAAGTTCTAATGGATTTCACAAAATGTCAGGTTTGTGCCTCATCTATGCTGTTCAAATGTGATTCTCCCCTAGAGGTGAAGATCGAATCAGAAAAGAGACAGTTGGAAGAAAGGGATTGTTTGCCACCTAACCATGTTTCCACGCTGTCAGAAGAGATCTATTTTCTCCTTAAGCACAATAGTTTGAAAGACATATAGAGCAGAATGACCCCTTCAAGGTAGGAGACATTTCATGGAAAATTTGGACATATAGCTTATCTCTTGTCAGTAGAAGTTGACTATTCGTTAATTAAAGCAATGATACAGTTTTGGGACCTCTCCTATCGATGCTTTATCTTTAATGAGATTGATTTGGTGCCAACCATTGAGGAATATTCAACTTTGATGGATGTGCATATATTACAGAAAAAGTACAAATCAGGGAGCCACAAGAAGTTGAGTCAGATGTTAGGGGTAGAAAAAGAGACCATAGATTCTTACATTTAAGAAAATGACGATCATAAAGGTATTTTATAGGGGATACTCTAAGATTTCACTGTCAAACATCCGGATGATGACCAGGGGATGAATGCATTTGTTTTGGCCATATACGAATTAGTCATCTTCCCCAAGCTCTTAGGGCACATTGAAATAGAAGTGGTGGACTTATTTGAGCAAATTGAATGAGGTTATAACCCTTTCATCGATTATCTTAACAGAAACTATCAGATTTTTGAGTTTTTATAGGTAGATAGATAAAGCACGTTTTTTGGGTTGCATACCTTTATTGTATGTATGGATAAAAAGTCATTTTGAATGTAAGAAGAGTGCTTTCACCAAACTTTATCTCCACACTCGAAATTCGATTAGAGAATTCTACGAGAGTACTTGGCCAGAGGTAAAAACTCAAAAGAAATAGAAATGTCTACTATAGAGACTCACGGCTAGTCAGATAAAGTGGTTGGCTCAATGGATGGATAGAGAACCCATGTTATACCAATGTGAAGATAAGACAGAAGTCCCGCTTCTAGGTTTATAGGGGTTAACAAGTTATGCTCCCTTAATGGTAAAGAGACAACACGGGGTTGAACAATTTATTCATATGACCCACAAGCTTGGTCAGTTCGATTGCTTATATGATGATCTTGAAACATTTCAAAAGATCGATAGCATGGTTAAAGCTTGGAAAAATCATAAGAGGGTAAACCCAAGACCATTCACTGATCGAGTAACTTAGGGGTATCTGGTTTGAAGGGGCAAGAGAAGTCAAAAGGTTGCATTTGAGCCTCAAGATCATACTTTACCAATGGATCAAAAGTTTGATAAAAAGCTCTCAGAGCTAGAGCATGAGATGGAGAAAGAGAAACTAAGACAAAAGTCTCGAAGTTACAGGAAGAAAAGGATCAATAGTAAAACAAAGCAAAAAAACTAGAAGTTCAAGTCCACAAGGTTTTTAAAGAGTACAGTAAGGCCCAGAAAGTTGTCAAGGAACGAAATGATACCCAAAAAGAGTTGAAGAGGTTACAACATAAGCATAAAAGATTACGTATACAGGTACAGGCTAAGAAAATAAATAATACCAAACTGGTTCACAAAAATGAAGAGCTGAAAAAAGAACATGACCAAATAAAAAATGCTTTCATGGAGATTGAGCAGGAGAAGCAAGAGCTTTTAGACCACATCTTGACTCTAACATTGAAATTAAAAAAACAAAAAAATCATGTCAGCTTTCTTATAGAAAAGCATTAGAAGCTAACTCATTAGGTGTGGTATAGTAAAAGAGAGGGATTAGGAAGATAGAGGTACATAGAACATCTCACTGTTCAGATAGGCAAGGCCGTGGTCCAA